GTCAAGAGATTTGCAAATTCTCTTGAGGTTGCTGGATCAGTAGGGCACTCCGCCCCTACTGACCCCGACCATTTTTTGATGGTCCGTCTCGCTGTTGCGGCTTCGCAACAGCGCTGGACCCACGCCCATTGCCCTTTCTGGCAAAAGGTCGTCCATTTCGCTCAGTACTGTTTGGCACTGGGCGTGGAGCACTACACTCGTATGCGTAGTGCCCTAACTTCTGACAGCGATTGCAACTTTGCAATCGCTTGTTGTTTGTAGAGCGAGGTCTCTCGCTCTCAACATAGCAGAGGTCCATTGGTTCTGGACCTCCGATCTCTTGTCGTCTCGGTGGACGGTAAGAGTTTGAGCTAGCATGAGCCTGTCTCATGCTAAAGTCTTCCTGTTCCGCGGCTGATATCGCTTCTTCAAGCGTATTCAGCTCAAGGCGGAACAGGTGGCTCCTGACGGGCCCTTTTGCGAGCCCTTGCATGAACACCGTAATCAACGTGTGTTCTTGAACTGGGTTTGCAGTTATACTACTCGCAAGGAGTCGTATATGTTGTGCGTAAGCGTGCACATCACGCTTACCCTGCTTGAGTTTCAGGAGCTCTGAACGAGCCCTGAACTCAGCACGTGGCGGCTCAAACGTTTGTCTGAGCCGGGACTTGAAGTCATCTAGCGACCTAAACACATTTGGGTCGCTACTCTCGAGTCCCAGGGACCAAGTTTTGGCACGCCCTGCCAAGTGGGTCTGAGCAAATGTGAGTTTCATTTGCTCATCTTCGACGCGACGAGCCCTTAGGGCTCTGTCGAGTTCGACAAACCATAGTAACAGGGAGTCCTCCGGGACTCCACTGTACTTGGAGATGTCAACTTTCATGACTTCGGGACGACGCGCATTGCCCGTCCCACCCACAGCAGCATGGAATTGCTGCTGTCTCAACAGCTCCGTCTGTTGAGCACCGAGTTCTCTCAACTGCTCGGCCTGTTGAGAGCCTTGCTGGTGAAGCAAGGCTACTTTCTCCCTCTCGAGAGCAAGTTCATTCTGAATGAACTTGGCAATAGCGGCATGTTGTTGGTCTCTGTCTAGAGACTCCAACATGGTGCTGACGACGAGTTCGCCTACGGTAGAACTCATTCGTTCTACCGCACCCCATTCGATGTCACTCAAATGGGTAAACCCTTCACGCGTGGCGTGAAAGGTGTCTTCTTCATCCAACATGTTCATGTTGGATGATGTGGTCCTTGGAAGGACTACAAAGTGCTACCAGGTGTAACGGGGCACACCCTTGCGTAACTTAACGCAAGGGATTTGGGTGCCCCGACGGACGTACACGTGGCAAGCGAGGAAGCGTAGGTAGGGTAAAAGTAGAACTGTTATATTAATAAAATTAAGTCTTTAAACTACTGTCTCTTCGTTTGACTTAATTCAATTATACTAATATAACTGCATGTATGGTGACGTCTCGTCACCACTCATTGCGCGCGTCTTGCGGCGATTGGTGGGTTGATATCATCACGATATCAACCAATGAACAGACCCTTTGGTCGACCCTTCAATATCACCACTTTGGTGATATTGTTTTAAAGAATATCCTTCTTTATATTCTTTATTGTCACTTTCCTTAAAGTGACAATTTCATGTAACGGGCTGCCCCGTTACAGTAGCCTTTCTGGTGCCCTAGTATTGTAAGTGAACCCACATTCGTTGCTGCCACAGTTAGGTCACGTGAGCACGTAAGTTACGTGAGCCAAGTACAAGATATAATAAATCATCCATAAGCTCGTCCCAGTCACCATGAGTCGCCAAACGCGCCACAAGTAGTAGCATCGGCATAATGCGGCACATGTGCCGTTTTAAACAAGATGAGCCTTTGCTTGAGCTGGCGGCTTCATGTGTTCAAGAACTTGGAGACCGGCAGGTACTATAGGCGATATATACTCGATGAGTAAGCATGCGTCGATGCAGAACAACATAAAACAGACCCTTGCGGAAAGTCGAAGCATGCGATAACGTTTGGAATCTTCGTACAGCCAGGATGATTTTCGATGATGCAGCACAAGATGGGTAGCATACATTATAGTAGAGACTGTAAAGGAGGTACGGAAGATATGCCGTTTTGGCTTTCTTGGAGCTGGATGTAATAATTGTGGCGTGTGCGTGCAACGAGCATTTGTAGTTTTGCGGGCGAGCAAAACTTTGGTAGTACACATGAGATCACGAAACCACGCGCCAAATCCTGGTACGTCGTTGCTTCATGTTGACCTGACAGCTCTTGACGATGCCTCACGTTTGCAGCTTCATCCGTCACTGCCTACATCGTTGTCTGGACTAAATGGTACATTGAATTCAGAGGTCAAATCACTTGCACGCGTGCCAGTTTCGTCTTCGCAATGTTTAGCCCTGATCTCGGTGTTATCAAGATCGATCACCTACGTACTGGACGCGAGCAAAATACCCTACCGCTTGCTTGTTTAATCACTATACTGTCTCATAATGGCCTATGACGGTCCCTGCGGAGTATCCATTTGCTCAACTTATAAGGAAGCAGCTGAGCGTGTTGTGGAGTTGCTAACGACATATTCAGCAATCGACTCCCGCGCGCTACAAATAAACGTGTAGAGAGCTCTTTAGGATCACAACTTTGACGGGATAGTATCCACAGATATTATGCGGTGTGCCCATCCTAGCGAAGGCAACGTACTCTATGTTCGGTACCGCTGATACGACGAGGTGTAGTAGATCACTTGCTGCGATCTTGATTACAGAAAAGTAGCTGAATGAAGGTAGTCCGGTATATTGCTACACTACCACTCACAGCCGGATACGCGGTTCAAACTAACAAAAAGAGTATCATCCATGAGCAGAGTGCCTTGTGTCCTGAGTCATCTTGTTGTGATGAGCTGAACGTTATGTCGTCAGCTGAGCATGCCTTGTTTGTTGAGGTGCTAGGTAATTTATGTAGGAGACTTGGTTGTTATGATGCAGAACGCAAAGTGGTTTGTGCAAGTTTCCACATAATGGTTAACACTCTCGTCTGCTTCCCTGTGTTTAATCAATCAATCGTCTCTTCGCTCGTTCCGAACCTTGTGACAGCCATTCCTGCTTAATCAATCGCTATGATGAAGTAGCTTATCGTCATTCTGTCGTTAAACCAGGCGTCTTGGCAACAACAATTTGTTCGATAACGATTCCACCGGACATCACCCCGACAAGCCACTGGTCACCCGGCTTTTTTCGCAGAAACTTCGTTATCACTGAGAGCGAATTACCTTCATAGTCAGCCATTTTGTAGCAGGGGCGGTTGAGGTAAACCTAGAAACTTAGGTTGGTGGTGTTTTCCAGCTGTAAATCTGGTACATATCGTAATTTCTAGGAAATAGGATAACTCATTTTTTTGCATAATTTAGTGATAGACGAATATAACTGCATTTACAGCATGCTTTATATCGGTATTCTATTACTGTCGTAATCTAAACGTTGGTAAATGTGCGAAGTGTAGTCGCGCATCACGCCATGCTCGATCACAGTCTTCGTCTGCTGTCTATCTCTGTCACGGTAACTTCCCCAGCGATGGCTGCACGATCGATGACGACCAGACGCTTAAAGGCGTACAGGATGCGATGGCATTGCGCTGCCACGGAGCCATAACGCTATGCGCTGAAGAAATAAGCTTAGCATACAGAGGCAATGGTCTTATTGCAGCACACTGTTGCTGGGTCCCGTCACTTGATATCTGTGAGAAATGATCGTGGAGTCAGAGGTCCACCTACCCGTGTAACGTTAACCCATCTGGATGTTCCGAGCATTGCATCTACGGATGCGGTGAGCATGGCGATGGGGTTACTCGAGATTTGTCATTGTTGTCCTCGCCATGCGTTTTCGTCGAAGCAAGCGCTTCATGCATTAGTCCGATTGAAGCCAACGTAAGATGGCTGAGACGACAGCAGGCTGGCCTATATCCTGTCCTTCTTTCAAGAACAGATCCATTGTCCCACGTAAGAGAGCGTCGATGTAAATAAGTAAGACTGTTTATTTCGGCACGCCACTGCATAACCCCGTTACTATAACGTCGTGCTTTGGAGCGTTTCGATCAGCTTCGTCTGGCTCCTCGCTGTCTTTCAACCCTTGGCCGATTCTATAGTGGCAATCCGAGCGATACCAATCTACACCACCCTTTCTCTCCTACTTCATTAGTTGACCGGCATTCATGCTGCTCGTGCGTTCACCACCAGTTGCTTCATGCAACGTGCAGCGTGACATGGACGTCTGCTTTGTAGTCACGCCCGGCGTAGAGCCTCGGATAGATCCATGTAAAAGTAGACGGTCGTCAAGTGATGTCGGTATTTCAAATGCACGCAAGCGCATTGTGCAGACTTACTTGGCTTTCAGCTTACCGCTAAGCTGCTTTGCGTCACACTCCTGGCAGTGGCTTCGCCGGTACAGCCGTGTTGCTCATCAATAGTTGGCCGCTTACAGGCGACGTGGGAAATGACGTGTGCACGGGTGCTCGATACTTAAGCGTAGGTTCTTAACGATCATAATGAATGATTCCGGTCAGCCATAACATGGCTTGATACATCCGACGCGTCTTAAGATCCTATGACGATGGTGGCACGCCACAGGTGACACAGTTGGATACATTGAGTCGGCTTGGTTATGGCCGTTTGCGTTCTGTATCGTAGTCGGATAGGTGTTCTGCTGTCTTTTCGGCTGTGCATCTTCTAAAGCAACAATGGCTTTGTCTGTATGCGTGTTGCGGTCGCCCCGGAGACTGTTGATGAAGCTCCAACAACAATGCGTGCGGACGTGGGGGAACGTCTGAGGATGGCAATAGAACGATGGTCATCGTCTTCTCTGATGCGCCCCGTCAGCTTGATGAAGCGACGCAACACTAGAGTATTCACGTGCCATGTATGTGTCAGGCGTGTTATTCAAACGTTGTATTCTCCTACTTCGTGGCCGATAGCGCTCGGCAGCAACGATGACACCAATAAATAGTCGAGCGAGACTCGTATTAGACGCGACCTGAGGACTCCATAGACGGGTTCTTGCACCAATCGACGCCCAGGAACTCGAACACGTCGAAGTTAGGGTCGTTCACGTCTACGCCCGTCATGCGGTCGTAGACCTTGCGGTACTTGAGCGCTTTCTTCGCTATGAGAGCGCTGGTACTCGAGCTTGTGGGCGACGATGCGTCGGCCATGAGACACTTGGCTCGCGCCTCTGAGCGCTGACGGTAAGCCTCGTCCCGGTAGCAGAGTCGAACACGGTGCGCAGCCGCTTTGGGAGCAGCCAACCCCTGGTAGCGGCGTTCGTGATTGGCAGTAGGGCTCCACACTTTCGTCGCGTTCGTGGCGGTCGAAGAACTGGCCGAAATCTGCATGATCGGAACCATTGGAAGAAGCGATGATCGATCCAAGTGAGTCGCGTGTGGCAAGTTCGGAAGTGATCAGACCTCGATGTTCGGAGACAGCATGGAGTGGGCGAACCAAGGGGATGGGCTGTCGCGTAACGGTGGGATTTCGAAACCTTACTGTAACAGCTTCAGGGAGTGCAGAGACGCTCGTATCAGCCTACGAGCCGCGGTCTCGTGGCCGTCCGCGATGGGTGCCTCGGATTTGAGCTGACAACACAGGAGCAGCTTCTCAGGGGCGAAAAAGACGGTACCGATGCCTTGACAATTCACCGTGACCTGACTCGACTCGACGGTCATCCGTCATACAAGGACTCGGATGGCAACGGAAATTGCAGGGTGGCTCACGTTTAAGATTCTGTAAGTTTTGTGCTGACAACGCAGCCGGCCGTGCTCGGCCAACGCAAGGCTATCGTATCTTTACAACTCAGGTTGAATGAATGCATGACTGATTGTAAAATACTGGCAAAGGAGGGTGCGGAATGACAGCCAGGTCTGTCTTTTTAGCAATCTCGCGGCAGTGGCCAGCTTCACGTTGATGATCGACACCAATGACGATCAGCTAGACTAGCGTCGCTCACATCGCGCCCAGTTTTGCAACGATTCTATTGTAAAGAACACAGTGCCTCATCGCGCCCGCCAAGTTAGTAAGCGGCGTAGATTGCGAAACATTTGGCGTTGGCGATCACAGGCCGTCGTGCGTGAGCGTTTGCCGCACACAACTGTGCTCTAGTGCCCTTCTCAGTCAGGCAGTCAGTTACCAGTTCGTCGGGCTGGTGCGGTCTGGGCTCGTCGAGTATGAGGTTACACTTTCAATTGCTACTGCCTGTCGCACTGCGCTCCTCTCAATCGCCGCCGGACTGTGATCAGCAGCGCAAAGTGTGCGTGAGATTCGCGTTCTAGCGGATACCCTTCACCACCTTCCCACGCTGTAATGATTCAATGATTCCGTGAGACTGCTAGGCGGAAGTTCCACTTCAACATTCCTCGACGCTTCCGCGAAGGTTCCTCCGACCTCGGAACACCATCGAACATACCTTTTTGTTCCGGAGGCCGCCGACCTTTGGGTACCTGCTACGTCTCGGACTTGAGTCCATTGGTGTGTACTACTTTGTTCTGTGGATATTCTTCCGCAAGAACAAGACACACCGCGACGTCAGAGGTTTGCATTGGCTTCTGATTTAAATCCTTCACAGTCGGATCGGTAACCAAGTCTTTGTTGTCTACTTGTCTTTATGGCGCTTGTTTTTGTGCGAGTTTTAGATCTCTCGTCGGGGACGTTCCGACCTGCCTGAACGGTTTGGCGACATTCCCGCTGGCGGAAATGGCTGCACAACGTGGCGCGCATCGCTCTGTCAGGTTTGAAAGCAACTATACAGGAGGTAGAGCGAAATCATGGTGTCGATTCTTCATGAGCGCTCGCCTAGACTCCAGGCTGCTCAATGCGTTCAGTCGGTGTACAACGTTTTGCCTATGTGCACTGGAGTCTCGCTGACTCCCTCTGCTCTGCACTGCTCTTCCGATCCAGCTTGCGCAATGTCTGCTTCTCTGAACGATATTTCTTCTTAGCGCGGTTTGTTCACAAATTCGCCGTCCGCCAAGTCTTGTGCTATTGCATTGCCGTCGCTGCTGACATCTTCTTGCTATGCCGAACGACGACACCGCGATATTCATGCGAGCATGTGGCGCCTAGTGGGCTACAAATAAATTTCTTTCGTCGTACTGAAGCAGGTGGTTGGTAATCTAGGGGCCACACGGTGACAACAACACCGCTTGTTTCGGTTAGCGGATACCGAATCAGGCGATATTGGTTCCAAAGATTGCCCGCTAACTCTTCGATCGACTCGATTGTACAGGCTGCTAACATCAGTGCCGAATGCAGATCAACGTAGTGTCAACGTCAGCATGCCCTCTTGAGGACGGACGTGGTTGGAATAGGATGATGCATCAGCTGCACATTGCTCATTTTAGTTGTCGCATCGTCACTTGAACGAAGGAAAGACTTCTACCTGGTACCACATGTGATTGCTAGGGCGCGCTTTGTTTGTGCAACGCAAGCCATCAGAGTCTCGAGGCGACTCGACACAACAGACTGTGCTGAGTTTGATTGTAGGAACGCCACCACGACGAGCCGATCAAGTACAAGTATTATCAAAGTCATGTCTTCCAGTGTCTGAGCGCGGGAAATATGAAGGATCCAATCTGATGTAGCATGTCTGTTTTCGTACAGGCGACGAAGGATGAGCTCATCCTTACAAACGATGAATGGAATAGCTCTTTCGATATGACAGTGGCATTCTTGCAGCACGACGCCTCCAATTGAGAGACTAACCGGAAGTCAACAAGCGTTGTGTGCCTTCTTCAACAAATGAACATGTCAACAAGTAGACGTTGCGAAACCGATATACAGACGCAGTGCGCCAGCGTAGAGCGACAAAAAGCGATTATAGAAAGTATTTGCCACGAAAAAGTGCAGCCAAAGGGATCGTTGATCCATTCGGGAGCTACATTTCCGCTTACAAAGAGCATGACAAACTCGTAACATGGCTGCAGTAGAGTGACACCAAGCAAATAAATCTGGCCTCGAATGTCGAGCGCATAAACACACAAGACTGTTGCGACTCGCAAGTGTCCAATGTATGGCACGAAGCCACAAATGCACGCGAGATGACAGTACGGCAACCCAAACTCTACTGGACCAAGAATTAACGTGGCACCACACGGAAGCGGAGGTCAATATGGATGCCGTCGTTGTATCGACGCGAATGAGCAATGATCTCTCGTTCAGTCTGCTTGCGAAGCAGTGGGAGCACAAGTGTAAGAAAACCGTCGCGTACTTCGAGTGGAAGCCGTGGTAGCTCTACAGCCATAGGAAAATCGTCCGGCAGCGGACCCTTTGTGACGACCACCTGTATAAGCCAGCGGCGCAAGTATCGTATCTTCTTGATGTTTTGTGTCCAAGCTTGAAGAATGTAGGACACCTCCGGCGACTGCATTTCAAAGTGTGGCGTCGGGTGGCGCACCAGCTCTTCCTGCCACTTTGAGTTCACTGCATCAGCATCAGCTAGAGCTCGTGCTCGCCCGAGACTGTCGCCCTTGTGCAAACCGATCGCCTTTGCTTTGTTGTCTTGATTGCGTTCTTCTTCAAATATACGTACATCATCACTCGTCACGCCCTGCTGCATCATTGTAACCGGTTCATCTAGCTCCAGCAACTCCATGTGTCTCTGTTGCAGCTCCTCATACTGTTTCAATACATGAGCTACCTGCTTCCGCAGCATCTCGAGCTCACTTTTCTGGTCTCGAATCACCGCCATGCTTTGTTTCTGGTCACGTGCGTACTTCTCATTCTGCTCTGCCAGCCTCGTCTCTAGTTCCAACACCACATCTCGTTTCTGTATACGATCACCATCCACATACGCCTCTTTCTTCCCCCCATCAGCAGCTGCAACACTGAGTCGCTCCATACTTCGCAGTGCAGCAAGTTTCTCGGCCTTGAGGTGGCAAATAATCTCTTCCGCGTCCAAAAGCTGTCGCTCCAGCAGCGCAACTCGATCGTTCGTGCTCTTCAGCTCAATTCCTGCTGCCAGTTTTGCCATGGAGTCAGTCGCCAAGTCCAAACGCGCCTGTCGCCGTGCAAGAGCGCGGTCAAACCCACCATCTACGTCACCGTCTTCTTCCTCCTCTTCCTCTCCCTTTTCCACTTCTTCTTCGTCTGGCGCTCGTAGCTTCGCATATTCGTTGCCGAGAAAAGAATACGGCGCACTGGCGTCCGACATCTGCAATTGCTGCAGCACTGTACGCAGATGCGTGTCGTCCTTGCGCGTGTGCTGCAAGTCGTGCTGCGCGAGGGGCCCAGTCCACCGGACTTCGGCCATCGTCGACGATTGTTTTGCTGACCATGTGGTGGTGTACTAGCATCTGATTCGCTGAAAAGGTGGACTTCTAAAAAGAATTCTCGATGACAGGCTACCTTTGCACTGTATTCAAAGAGCAAACCTCCGTGTTTTGCACCTCGTTTCCCACCGCATACTCTATTATGCAAGACACTCTAACGCCAACCGAGAAAAAAGTGTCGTCTCTTGGTTTTGTCGGTCAACCCTCCAGTCTGCTTTTTAGCACCGATAAAGCGACCACACCAAACGTGTCTGCGATCTTGTGCGTTTCTATTTCTAACGCAGTGCTCCAAGCAGCTTCCGCCAGCGAGTATCACTACTCGATCGCTCTTCCCGCCCGCGTGCTCGTCGTCCCTTCACATGAGTCGTGTCCGCACGTTTCTGCGGCCGTGGATGGCTACGGCTGTGGCTCCCGCTGCATGCGTGGCTTGGACGTACGACCCGAGTCGCAGCGAGGGGTCTGTCCCCACGTCTGCGTTCCTCTACCAGCCTCTGTCTGAAGATAAGACGCCCCGGAACAGCATCGAGTTTGACGCCCACGCCCCCTTGCGAACGCGCATGGAGGCGCTGATTCTCCGCGTTCAGGACGACATTTGTGCCGGCATTGAGGCCGTGGACGGAAAGCAGTTTGTCCAGGACGAGTGGGAGCGAGAAGGACACGGCGGCGGTGGCCGTAGCCGCATCTTACAGGACGGCAACGTCTTTGAGAAGGCGGGCGTGGGCGTTTCCATCATCCACGGCAAACTGCCGCCTGCTGCGGTGCAGCAGATGAGAGGGAGGGGCAAAGGCTTGAAAGAAGAACAGGAGCTGCCGTTCTACGCCTGTGGCGTGAGTCTGGTCATGCATCCGCACAATCCCATGGCGCCAACGATTCACCTGAACTTTCGCTACTTTGAGGTCGAAACGGGGTACCTTGACGCGGATGGCAAAGCTCAGAAGATCGGATGGTTTGGTGGCGGTGCTGATCTAACACCGAGTTATCTCTTTGAAGACGATGCGCGCCATTTTCACGCTGTGTACAAGACGCAGCTGGATAAGCGCGACCCAGAGCTCTACCCGAAGTGGAAACAGGCGTGCGATGAGTATTTCTACATCCCTCATCGTCAGGAAGGGCGTGGTGTTGGCGGTTTCTTCTTTGATGACCTATCAGATACGTCTGAGGAGAACTTTCAGATGCTTCGCAACTGTGCCAACTCGATGCTCGATTCGTACGTTCCGATTTTGCAGAAGCGGAAAGACATGCCATTCACCAAGCAACAGAAGGAGTGGCAGCAAATGCGTCGTGGCCGCTACGTTGAGTATAACATCATGTACGACCGAGGTACAAAGTTTGGCTTGCTTACTCCTGGCTCGCGTGTCGAGTCAATCTTGATGTCGCTTCCGTTAACGGCTCGATGGGAGTATATGCACCGGCCAGCGGCTGGGTCGTGGGAGGAAAAGACATTAAAGGTGCTGCAGAGCCCCGTGGATTGGCTGAATGTGCCTGACATGGATTTGGCGACAATATCTACTGGTGAGCTGCTAAAGGAGCTTGCAAGACGGAGCGAGTAGTGACATGTGTAGGTGTTAAATCATGCTACCATTGGAGTGCCAACTCGATGCGTGATTTTCTAATCTGTAGAGGCAGAAGGACGCGCCATCACTAAACCAACAGGAATGGCAGTAAAAGTTGCAAGTGTGCAAAACATTTGTTTGAGTCGGCTTTTTCAGCTGCTAAACACACCGTGACGTACGTACCGGCAGACCGCTTGCAGTGACAGATATGCCAAATAATCGAGAAATAGATTCGCAAAACCAGAAGTCCCATTATGACACCCTTTCGACCGATGCGTCTTACAAAGAGTTGTCGTCTGACGTTCTTCAGCATTGCTGCGCTGACTAATGTTCTGTCTTGTTGACGAAAATAGTGCAGGAGTAAGCGAATGAGCTAATTACATGCATAGGGGTGGCGCATTCACAGGAGCTGCTGTGAGTTGATACGTCAAATGATACAAAGAACCCGATTGGTATCATACACGACTATCGCTCGTAATGTAAAGTTGCGCCCGATGTCAGATCGTGGTTCACTTCTTGATTTGATCGTGATCGGTGATTGACAGCCCAGGCACACCGCACAAACCTATTAAACGGTGACGTTCGCGCGCCAACGCCTTTTTGGACATTTGCTAAGTTAATCTTCCTTACGTCTGCCTTTTGATGAGGCTCAATTGAGAAAGAAAATGTAGCGGAGCTACACAGCTCCTTAAGTCAGAGGAAGACTTAACGCTCTCACGAGCAACTTTGGTTCACAGAACCCGACTCAGAGAGTCAATAGCTCAGAGAGCTAACGGTCCCCGTTCCAGAGGGACCAAACGATTCAAACGAATCACAGCACAGAGTGCTCGAGGACAAGCTACCTTTACAGGCGTTGCTTTTGTCCTCCCGATCAAAGACGCCTCGTAAGGCACGTGTCTCTTATTGATCAAAAGGGGAACTGAATTTTATTTCTTCTTTAAACCTAAAGAACACCATAGAATAACGTACTTAATCTAGTCACTAAGGTTCAAAGTAAAACCTCTCTAAAGATCTTGTAATCAATTGATGACAGACATCAGTCTTCAACAATTGATACACTCACTGTGTTCTAAAATTACTTTATAGGGTACCCCCTCTCTTGTGTGCACCACACCTATCGTCGACTACCAGTCGACGTAAAACCCCGTTACACCCTCCCCCACCAGACTGACGTTACCACAAAACGTCAATCGGTTTCTTTCCTCGAAGAGGTCGGTGTGTGTGCGCTTAACCTCACGGTGGCAAAACACGAAACACCATGGCATCGCAACCCAACGAGTCTCGGACTCTTTCCTCCTACCTCGGTCTTAATGAGTATGTGGACTATGGTAGTGATACCAGTGTCCCTGGAGATGATGGGATATCGTCCCACTCCGCTGTATCTGAGGCTCGACCTCTAACAGCACCGAATCCGTTTGTTAGACGTGGTGTTACCACAGCGCCAGGGGCGCAGCATCATACAACAGATGTCGATGAGAACATCATCACAAACCCGCTCGACGAGCAACAGGATTTAACCTATCAGCGTGAGAAGCGTGCTCTACGTCGCACTCATACCCAGACGGTTATTCAAAACCGGAGTGGTTACGTGTTTACAACACCTGACGTGGAGCAACGCCTCCGTCAAACGGAAGGCCGTAGCCTTTCAACATGGGCCATGGGCCCCGAGGCTACGTCGCCAGAAGATATAGCCGTTCGTCAGGCTCTAAATGAGAGATATCTCAAACCATTCTTTACCACGCAAGTGAAGTACCGCGCGCATCTTGGGAGCTTGTCTCGTGGTGTCTCGGTTCGACCGATTAAGGGCGTGCCCATCTTGTTGTTCGCTGGCGAACTGCCCGAGGAGGAGGACAATCAGTTCATCCGTTGGGTGTATCGCAAGCGACACCTTAGCAGTGTGCCAGCGCTGCGGGCCAGCGCCGATGTGGCCGACGTTCGGCTGGAACGAAAGCTTTGGTTCTAGTATGCCAAACTTTAGGCCAGGGGCCAGTTGCGTACACGTACGCGTTATGCTCCGGCTACAATGGCAATCACGGGTCACGACCCTAAGGTGCGGAGCAACACGCTACCTCCCACCACTATTGGTGAGAAGCGTTCTCGTTCGCAAGGCGACCCTGGTCACGATGTTCAAAAACATCCACGGCGTAAGGGCAGTCCTGCCAAAGGGGTATCTCATACTCCCACGAGTTCTCCGACTCCGGGTACCCTCGCCACTTCACCAGATACTGGTATTGGCCACGACGACGACGTCGCTGAAGGATTTTATCCACATGGAACTGGTGGTTCCCTTGCTCATCGAGCAGCGTCGGTGGCGGTCGGGGTACCGAAGGAGGAGCATGAGAAGGTGCTCCGTGAGCTGAGTGGTCTCCGAGAGACATTGGGTAAGACCCAGAATAAACTCGGCGCGATGCAAGCCCGTGTTCAGGCGTTGGAGTTGTCCTTAGCCCGTGTGGATGGTCAGCTTGACCTCCTGGTTGGGATGCAACAGTCGACGTCAAGGCCTTATTTCCAGGCGCAAGCGCCTCCGAGTTCACATGGGACGGACCCGATACGGCTTTGCAAGCCAACGTAGAACACTGGGTGCGTGCGCAGTTTGCGCGGAAGGTTGAGCGTGTACGCCAATCCCTTCTTAGCGATGACCGTGAACGGCCCAATGAAGCGCGGACGCAACTTTGTCTTAAAGACAGCAGAGACTACATTTGTAGGTAGGTTTTTAGCATTGAATAGAACTTGGTCTCCGACCTTATAACGTTCAATACATCCTCTGCCTTTAACATCAGCTTGCTCCTTTTGTCTATCTTGGCTATCATCCAGTGCATCACGCACATGTCGTAACACATTCGAGCGCGTTGCGAAAAACTCACTTACCTGTTTGTGAACAGTAGCAGGGCTGATATCTGCAAGCCGATCGGCCATCTCTCCCCCACCTAGCCCTGAACCACGCAGTGGTAGCGTTAACGGAACGCGAGGGTGTGTGAGACCGTTCACGTAGAACGGAGTAAAGCCTGTAGAGGCGTGAACAGCGTTATTTGACGCAACTTCAACAACAGGGAGCATCGAACTCCTACGTTTTGGCGTTTCAGCGCAAACACTGCGTAATATGTCACCGATAACGCGATTGACTCGCTCGGTTTGACCATCGGTCTGCGGATGATCCGCCGTGGACATGTCCAAACGTGTGCCGAGCACCTTAAAGATGGACTTCCAAAACTTCCCAGTGAAGCGAGGATCTCTGTCAGAGACTATTGCCGCAGGCAAGCCGTGTTGTCAAAACACTCTATCGATAAACAGCGTAGCTGTACCTTCACCATCAATGGTATCTGGCACAGCCGCCAAGTGAGCCATCTTGCTCAAACGGTCTTCAAAGACCACAATACCCGTATTGCCTTGCACATTTTTCGGCAGACCGAACATGAAATCCATGCTGATGAACTCCCAGCACCCAGAGGGTATAGGGAGACTAGCGAGCGGCGCAGCCGCATGAGCTGAGGGTTTCACCCGTTGACACGTTTCGCACGTACGCACGTATGTGCTTACCCATTTGTAAAGTTTGGGCCACCAATAGTATTGGCTCACGGAGCTATATGTCTTCTCTCGACCGAGATGACCGCTCACCGCAGTATCATTCGCCTCATAGAGGATGCGATACTTCAATTCCTCATCATGAGGGACAACGATACGGGGAGTATCCTCCATATCTGTGCTATAGCACAACAGTCCTTGATCGATGGAGTATCGATGTAGCCTCGCACGCAAACGTGCCGACAATTTAATGTCTGAGTCGTTAAACTCCTCGCTCCCCAGAGCACGTAGCAAAGCTACACAATGTTCATCTTTGGCATATGCCGAACGAATGAGGTCTGTGACCGATGATGACAGAGTCGTAACATGATCAAGCTCATAGTCAGGCCTACGTGACAACGCATCAGCCAAAGCATTCTGCTTGCCCGGCTTGTACTTCACCTCGAAGTTATATTCAGCAAAGAATGAGAGCCAACGGGCCATTCGCTGAGAGAGATGTGGTGACTGGGTCGCAGTGCGTAATGACGCATGATCTGTATCGATCACAAAAGGCTTAGAGCCAAGCAGATGAACTCTGAATTTGACTAAAGCATACTTCATCGCAAGCAGATTTTGTCATGAACTTGATAGTTCTTCTCAGCTGCTTTTATCTGTCGGGACTCAAACGCAATGACGCGTTCCCGTCCATGATCATCTGTTAGTAACAGAGCACTGCCGATGGCAAAATCAGATGCGTCACAGACGACACTAAAAGGCCGATCAGGATCGGGCAAAGCCAAGATTGGCGCATGAAGAAGACTCTCTTTAACCGCCGTAAAGGCTTCATGCTCGGTGTTAGATTAACACCACTCCGTATCCTTTTTAAGGAGATTGGATAATGGCCGAGCCATGTCTGCATAGTTTGTATTATACTTTTGTAAGTAATTGGCGAGACCAAGCCACTTACGTAGGTCCTTTTGGTTCTTAGGAACCGGCCAATCGACTATGGCTTTTATCTTGGTAGGATCCGCTCTAAGACCACGCTTCCCAATCAAGCACCCTAAAAAGGGAATCTCTTGTGCACCAAAGATGCACTTAGAGGCGTTGGCATACAACTTGTTCGTGCGCATGCACTCGAGCACTGCTCTTAAATGGTCGATGTGATTATCCACATCAGACCGGCCGTTCATAGCACGACTATGGACAAAAATGTCATCAAAGTAAGACTGTGCATAACCTCGGTGAGGACGAAACAGTTGTGTCACAAGACGATTGAACGTAGCTGGGGCATTGGACAAGCCCTGTGGCATAACTAGCCACTCCCAGAGCATACCGCTCGGATTACTAATCGCTGTCAGCGGAATATCCTTCTCACGCATGATCAATTGGTAATAACCATCGACTAAGTCGAGTGCACTGTACATTGTACATCCCACCATATTGTTCTGAATAACATCTTTCCTAGGGATTGGTGTCTGAGCCGGGATCGTTACAGC